ATTATAAAAAAATTCTCAGCCCTATTGGCGCCCTTTTTAGCTGCCTACTTTAATGAGTTATGACAGGGCTCCTTGCCCTCTCCGGACGCACTTAGGGCACATATCTCTATGATTCCTAAGACGACCGCTGATGTCCAGGAACCGCAAGCCTTCCGGCCCATCTCTCTTCTTAATGAAGACTTGAAAATATTGGGCAAGATCCTTAGTTTTCGCATCAATAAATATTTGTGTAGCCTGGTCCACAGGGACCAAGTAGGGTTCGTCCCCGGGAGGCAGGCGGGTGATAATGTCCGTAAGGTGGTCCATCTTATACATTTTCTGCAACAACGGAAAATCCCAGGATTCTTACTGTCCTTGGACATATATAAAGCTTTTGATTCTCTATCCTGGGAATATCTGCGGTTTGTGCTGTCTCTCTGGGGTTTCGGGGATTCTATTCTCTCTTGGATTCAAGCCTTGTAATTCCTTTCCTTCGGCTTCCGTTAAATACGCTGGGTATTTCTCGGATCCCTTTCCTGTTGGGCGAGGGACGAGGCAGGGGGCTGCCCGCTGTCCCCGGCGCTCTTTGTCCTGGCGCTTGAGCCACTGGCTTTAGCGCTCCGGACCGACTGCAATGTATCGGGGGTTCCATACGCGGGACAGGAGTTTAAGCTGAGCCTCTTTGCGGACGATGCCCTCTTGACCCTTACTAATCCTCTGACGACGCTTCCTAATTTGCAACGGGTTCTTGAGCGCTTTTCCTTGATCTCGGGTCTACGTATTAATTTGGATAAAACCGTTGCTCTCAATATTACTTTGGCTTCAGATTTGGTTTCGCGCCTACAATCCCACTTCCCTTACCGGTGGCTTCCTCTTCTCTTGAATACTTGGGCATTCGCTTGACCCCCACCTATGACTCCCTTTTTGCTGCAAATTATTATCCTTTGCTTAGCTCCTTATCTTCTCTTATGCATTCCTGGCAATTTCCGCACCTGTCTTGGATAGGACGGGTTCATTCAGTGAAAATGACCATCTTGCCGAAATTGTTATATTATTTTCGCACCCTCCCAGTGCAAGTTCCCCCTCATTTTCTTCGGTTGCTTCAGGCGAAGTTTATGCGTTTTATCTGGGCCAATAAGCATCCCAGAGTTTCTAGAAATACGCTCTTTGCTCATAGACTCCAAGGTGGTCTTGGGGTACCCAATGTAACTAAGTATTATCAGGCGAGCCAAATTGCCCCGCTGTCTATGTTGCACGCTTCCTCCGATGTTCCTCTCTGGGTCCTGCTGGAACTGCCTAATTGTGCCCCTATCGCACTATCGACACTTCTATGGCTTCCCCCTGCCCTACGGCGCTGAGTCCGATGTTGCTCCATGGCCTACGAGTCTGGGACTCGGTACGTTACTCCAGTGGCCTGATGTCACCTTTCTTGCCCTTGCTTCCAATCGTTAATAACCCTCTTTTCCCGCCGGGTCTAGATCACCCGAGGGCATTTTCTTGGTGGGTGGCTCATGGTTTCTCACAGGTGCGACACTTTTTGATTTTTCGGTCCTTTCCCACCTGGAATGTCCTCCGGGAGTCTCGGGATGTTCCCCCAGCGGAATTTTTTCGGTACCTTCAATTGCGGCACTGGCTACTCTCGCTGAGGGCCACTTCTGCTTTCCCATATCAGACATCTGCCTTTGAACGGCTTTGCCAGCAGCGTCCGGGCGCCCCGGGCCTTATCTCCCTTCTTTACGCAGCTTTGAACAGATGCTCGTCGCACACTTCTCTTTCATATGTAGTTCAGTGGGAACGCGACCTGGGAGTGGCTATGGATCCGGAGGACTGGAATAAAGCCTGGTCACTCATAGCTAAATGTTCGTTTAATACGACCACGCTGGAAGCAGCCTATAAGGTATTGTTTCGTTGGTATTGGGTGCCGGCTCGTTTGGCCCAGGCTAACCCTGCCTGTAGTGATCGATGTTTTCGGGGTTGTGGCCATCGTGGCAATGTACTGCATATCTGGTGGTCATGCCCGAGGTTGGTTCGTTTTTGGTCTCGTGTGTTTGGCCTCCTTTTCACTTTGTTTCATCTCTCCATACGCCGGGATGCTCGGTATGCTTTGCTTCATTGCCCCATACCGGGCCTCTTGGCTCGTCAGCAGCGATTGGCTTCCTATTTGTTTTTATCGGCCACTAGGACAATTGCCCAGGCCTGGAAGAGTCCGTTTGTACTTTTTCAGGGGGTGCGGGATCGTATGACTACTATGATGCTCAATGAACAGATGTCGAGTATATGCAATGACTCTCAACATAAATTTTTGAAAATATGGGAACCGTGGTTGCAATATGCCTTTCCCACGCTCCCCCCGGCCAGTGTAGGGAGGTGATGGAGTTTTGTATTGGCGCTCATGGACCCTTGCTCTCTGGTGTGTGTTTTTGTTTTTTCTCTTTCTTTCTTCTCTGCTTTTCTTCTTTCCTTTTCTGTTTGTTTTGATGTGACAGTGGACAGCTGTCTTTAGTTGCGATAATCTGAGTTTCACTGATGTTATTGTAACCTATGTGCCATTGATAGCCCCTACGTGGGCATACGTTTTGCCTTATTGGAATTAGAGCGTTGTCTGCTCTATTATACATTTTCTATCGGTGCAATTGATAGCCCCTGCGTGGGCGTGTTTTGTTGCCTCTGTTTTATACTGTTTAAAATTAATAAAAACCATTGAAATACAAAAAGGAAGATATCCAATTGAGAGACATATTGGTAGAGGGGGAACTGAGAACATTTAAAGAATTAAAAGAGATGGGAGGAGATATGTTTACTAAAATAGATGAGTGGAAATATCATCAATTAAAATGTTTTATAGGAACTCTCCCAAAACCCTTGAGATTAAAAAAGGAGTGGAATATGTTTGAAAGGCTATTAGAAACACGTAGAGATGGGAAACACGGTGTTACAAAAATGTATAGAATACTTACAGAACTAGACACAGACACAAAGTCAATTTTCATAACAAATTGGGAAAGAGATATGGGGGTGGGGATAGATGAAGATCAACAGAATAAGATATTTAGATTAGTTCACGAGAGTGTTAGTATGAGAGACGTTGAGATTAACTATAAATGTTTGACACGATGGCATATTACACCAAGCACTGAGCACAGGATGAGGGGGGAGAATTCAAAAATGTGTTGGAGAGGATGTGGGGAAGAGGGCACGGTGTTTCACATATGGTGGCAATGTCCAAAAATTCAGGTTTTCTGGAAGACAATAGTCAAATTAATAGAAATAATAACTGGAAATGACATAGGATTAGACCCAACCATGTGTCTCCTACATAGTGTTGAGACAACAGTACATAAATATAAAGAATCAGGTGTATGGTACTACTTAAGTGCAGCAAAAGGGTTGATCCCCAAGTTTTGGCGGAAGACAGAGGTACCAACGGAGGAGGATTGGATCAATAGGGTAAACCAGATTAGCAGAATGGAAAAATCTTATCATATGCAGGAAGACAGGATGAAAATATACTATTCACGATGGGAAAAATCGGGATTGAAAGAGAAATATAGAAAACTCTAAACTAGGAAGTTATTCGAAGTTACTGGGCCTAGAGAGACTGGAGATCTTGCAGAGGGGAGGGAGGGGGGGGGGAAGGGGGGAAATGGTGGGTTGGGAGGGAAGGGAAATAAAAGAGGTAAATAGAAGGGACAGAGTAGAAATGTATTGATATTTATATGTATTGTGTCTGTTCTTATGGAAATTTTGTAATAATGTGAAATATTAATAAATATTTAAATTAAAAAAAAAAAAAAAAATTAAGAGGGTGAGTACACCACATTATTTTATTTTATTTATTTCAGGTACTTGTATAGCGCCGTCAATTTACGCAGCGCTTTACATATCTATTGTACATTCACATCAGTCCCTAACCCTCAAGGGGCGTACAATCTAAGGTCCTTAACTCACATTCATACATACACATACTAGGGCCAATTTAGACAGGATTCAATTCACCTACCAGCATGTCTTTGGAGTGTGGGAGGAAACCAGAGTACCTGGAGGAAACCCACGCAGGCAACATACAAACTCCAGGCAGGTGGTGCCGTGGTTGGGATTTGAACCAACGACCCTAGTACTGCCAGGCTGAAGTGCTAACCATTTAGCCACTGTGCTGTTCAAAAACAAACAAAGCTCTGTCTCGATCCTACGACCATGCACTTCCTGGTCTGGCAAGTTAACCACTATGTTACAGCCACTGCCATTTAATTTTATTTTTAATCTTTCTTCACCACTAAACAACAATTTCCATTATTTTTTAAATCAGTAGAAAGAAAAAGAAAAAAGGATTTCCCCCTGCAAGGTAAAGGCATAATGTGCCAGTATGCATTGAATACTAGCACATTATCAAAGGCATAGCTTGAAACTAAGCCCTCCAGCAGTGTGTTGTTACCGCTGCAGAGACTTTCATCTTCACCCAATCTTCCTTCCAGCTTCCCGGGCTGCAGCCACTTAAATGGCCAAGCCGCGACGAAGTCACTCCTGCGCATGCAGACGGGAGTCATGGGGGAGCGGCACAGAGCTCTGAAGGAAGGGCATGCCTTTCCTTTAGAGCGCATGAGCCGGTGACGTCACCGGCTGCCGCTCACTATAATATCTCCTAAAACGGTGCACGTTTAGGAAATATTCATTTTAGCTATAGGTAAGCTTTAGTAAGAAAACAGTTTACTATCACTAACTGAATTGCATAGAGTAAAGGGTCACATTAAACATTTTTTACATTTTAAAAACCTGGCATCTTTACAGGGGCACGTAGACTTTCTTTCCACTGTATAATTTATTTTAATTTTATTTCATATTTAATATTTGAGCTTTATGTGTGTGTGATTTATAGTATTGTTATGACACAGAAGACCAACTCTTGTGTTAAATCTTCAGCCCAACCCTGGCAATGCCCTCGCATTTCATGTATTATTCCTGCATAGTGCTTTTCATATCCATCAATACATCCCTTATTTTGATTAGAGAAAAATAAAACATACCAGTGATCAGAAGGATAGCTGGCCAGGGTCCCGTTAAGTACCAGAGTGGCTGATCCTCCTCCATCAAGGTTTATGGCATTGTAAACTCCTTGATCCTTTAGGAAATTGGCCACCTCCCACAAATTTAGGCTGAAGATTCAAAAGAAAATACGAGTCGTTTTTCTTTCTCCAACAAAAATGTTTACATCTACAGAGTAGGCAGTAGTCACATGCTCCTTTATAGTTTTTTTAGTTATGTATATCCTGGTTATTTTGGAATGGTGATGTTAAACTATATGCAATACTTATTAAACCATACTCATACAATCTGGTCAAGCCCTGCTTATGTATGCCAGTAAGTCGCTGTTCCTGGCTGCCAGTGGTATCAATATTCATTGCTGTGCTTTGGATCGCTAAATAAATCAAAGCTGTCCATTTCCAGTTTACTATGATGACATCTTGGAGAAAGCACAGAGCAATTGATTGACAGCAGCTCATCCAGGTAGCTTCATTATTATCACACTATAAAGCTTATATGGCCCACTGGAACTTAGCACTGCCTATAGCTTTGGCTGAATAGGAGACAAGTCATGTGACCGCGGGAAATAAACTATTAAAAAGGTATTTATTCAATTATATTTTGGCTGATTTTACCATGGAGTGCTTACTTATTGTGAGCCTTGCTAAAAGAGTGGGAAGCGATGAAAGTTTACATATTCATTAACAAACGTTAACATAAACACTTGTTTAACAGATGTATCAGTTAGGAGAAGAATTGAAGAGGCCGGCAGCACTGTTGCCAATCAGGGCCGTCTATAATATTGATTGGACCCTGGGCAAACAGACCCCCCCCCCCCACCTGCTTGAAGACATAAAATAAATAGTAGCTAGACTCAAAATTAGTTTACTGCAGGAGATCAGGCAGCAATTGTGATTGGTTGCCGGAGGTTACAGCATATCATTACTACTCTCTGACTGGCTGCTGGAGGTTACAGCACACTTTACGGCTCACCGATTAGTTGCTAGAGGTTATTGCACATCAATAATGCTCACTGATTGGTTGCTAGAGGTTACTGCACATCAATAATGCTCACTGATTTGTTGCTAGAGGTTACTGCACATCATTACTAGTCACTGATGGGTTGCTAGAGGTTACTGCACATTATCACTCACCCATTGGTTGCTAGAAGTTACTGCATATCATTACTGGTCACCGATTGGTTGCTAGAGGTTACTACACATCATTACTGCTCAATGATTGGCTGCTAGAGGTTACTGCACATCATTATTGCTCACTGATTGGTTACTAGAGATTACAGCAGATCACTACTATTCACTGTTATTGGTTACTGTGCATCATTACAACTTATTGATTGCTAGATGTTACGGCACATCATTACAGCTCACGGATTGATTGCTAGAGGTTACAGCACTTAATTACATTTTACTGATTGGTTGCTGAAGGTTAAAGTACATCATCTCCCCACTGCCCTGCACACCATGGACTGAGAAGGTGAAGGGACCCATCAATAGACAGAAAACTTCTGCGGACTTGGGACCTCTGGGATCAGTGGCAGTGCTGGGGGGAGGGTGTGATCATTGGCAGTGCTGGATGGGAATGGGAGGTGACATTCCTACACTGTTGACCAATGTAAGGGGGGATTTACACTGACCACCAGCGTAAGGGCAACTCTGCACTTACCACCAATGTAAAGGGACATTTACACCACCAATCTAATAGGGAATTTGTATTGACCACCAATGTAATGAAGAATTTACACTGACAACCAATATTATTGAGGGATTTTACACCAACGACCAATACATTTTTCTCCATTCACAAATGTTAGGTGAAATTTACATTGACCACCAATGGGGTGGCCTTCTACATGGACCACCATTGAAAGGGGGGATTCAACACTGACCACAAATGTAAGTTAGGATTATTTATTTATTTATTTTTTTACCAACTACCAATATAAAAAAAAATTGCTTTCCTGACACAGAAATGTGTTGCCCTTTAGAAGATACACAGCAGTGCAATTAATTGTTAATGACACCCTCACGCATCTGCTGACGTGCATGTTCTTGTCACATGCACCAAAATTCACAGTGCTGTGGCACTGTGTGATTTTAAAAAAGGGTCAGGAACTTTTTTCATTTTTAGCGCATAAAGCAGACCATTGAAATTAATGGGCTGCTCTACACTTGACGTAAATCTTCCACCCCGTTAGTACACCTTTGCATACTAAAATATTCCCTGCTAACTTTTGCAACCCAGACCTCCCCCATCTTCTCCACTCCATCCAACCCCCCCCCCCCACCACCACCTTAACTCTACATACCTTCTCTGCTCATCTTTTTACCCACCTTCCTTACCTCTGTACATCCCCTCCTTGCTCACCTATGCACCCCAAACTGTACTTCCTTTTCTGGAACAGAGGCAGATCTGTCAATCCAGGCAGCAGCAGTCAGGACTGGTTGTGGCCAAGAGCCAACTGACAAGCTACAGGCTTATGAATCAGCAGTGACAATGATGATTGCCACACCCTCTGCAACATTTTGAGAGTAAGAGTGACAATTCTGTTCTAAATTCAGGAGCAGTGCAGTACTGTTGCCACACCATCACAGGAAGCTGCATTAGGTATAGTTTACTGGCAGGTATTTATGGAAATTTGCAGGAGACGAGAGAAAACTAAGTGCAGATTCCCCTGCTGCAAAACATAGTTTTGTTAATGGGAGGCCAAATTGTGACTGTAGGAATGTGGGATTTCCACATATATGATCATCTCATATATTTCAAACAGATTTTTCCCCAATTTAAAATATACCTATCAACAGGTACCAAGTATAATATTCCTACAAGCAAATGTGTAGTTAAAAAGAGACTTACCCTCTCCCATCAGTCTGTCCGTCTGCATGAAACAGAATAAGACGCCCCTTTGTATCATGTCCCACTGCTGTTCTAGCTGATATCTTATTAATAAAAGCATCAAAATTACCTAGTGAACAAAGGGGGATTAAAATTTATTGAAATTAATGAAAAAGTGGAACTGCAAAAAAAAAAAAAAAAAAAAAAAAAACGCTTTGCTACCTTCACATCTTAAAAGTAGGCTTGAACTACTTACAATTAGGCTTTTTATAACAGAATAGACTCTCCATGCCTGTCAGCATTTTTTTTTCTAAGTATACAGTCTTGGACAAGGAGTGCATGCACTGGCCATGGAGGAGAATGGAGATTTCACAGCACTGCAGGGGATCACTTTGCTAAGTGTGTCCTACCTTTATGGCATACAGCTGATGGGAACCCAATATCTGGCATTTTCCTGGCTGTTTAGTTTCACTTTCACATAAAAAAAAAAATCCCTTTACCATTACTTTAAAGCTGATCTCCAAGTTTTAGTAAACTTTAAATAGTTTGTTTGGACCAAGCGCACTACTTACTTTACTAACAGATACAGCACCTGTGAGTGTCTTATAAACTGTATGTAGCTTCTGGTACACACAGTAAACAGCGCTATGTTCAGGCAACAGATCAGGAATTTCCTGTCCCACTACCAGAACAAAATTGATTCTGGCTGAGCACTGCTCAGCCATTCACAGGAAGCTTTCAATTCTATAAATGAATACAAAGCTTCCTCTGATTGACTGAGGTGGAGATTGTGATATAAACTGCCCTCCCCAAAGGAAGCTTTATATTCAAAGAATACAAAGCTCTGTGCGAATGGCAGAGCAAAGCTCAGCCCAACTCTATTTTATTCCAGCAGCGGGACAGAAAGTTCCCATCCCGCTGCCAGAACACAGTGATGTATACTGTATATAGCTGATGCTACATACAGTTTATACAGTGTTCACAGCTACTGCATAAACTAGTGAAATAAATAGTTTGTTGGGACTAAGCTGGCTCAGTGAAACCTGGAGTTCTGCTTTATCTTTGGGCATATACAAGCCACTTCTGCAAAAAAATTTAAAATGTAATTTAGGAAAATAGGTCTTTTCCTCATCTGTAGTAATCTTTTCTTCCAATCAATTTACCTTGCTGTTAACATTGTAGCTTTAAAGCCAACTTTCTTGCTATGTCAGGCGCAAACTCTCTGTTGTGTGTAATGGTTCCCATGGGCCCAAATCACACAACATTTTAAAATGGACATTTTGTGTGGGGGGGGGGGGGGGGGGAATATTTCTTGCATTATTTGAAAATCATCCTGAAACTGCCACTTGAAAGGGGAACACAGGAGGTTAATTAAACGAACCTGTAGTTTGAGTTTCGTCGCATTCCACACTCTTGCTTTGCTCAACATATACCTCACCATTCCGCAACAACCACACAACTCCACTCACAAGCTGTACAAAAGGATTTTCTTTAGTTAAGACCTCCTCTTCTGACAGATAGCTAGAATACACACAAAGAAAAACACAATCAAATATGTTAAACACTTATTTCCTATTAGAAGAAAAATATTCTAACAAAGCTCAATTTGTTATAGAGAAAAACCCCTTACCAAAACCACACATGAAGATGATTGAAAGAGATTTCATTCATTTATACCCTTGAAGGAAACCCAAGAGTGGCACGTAGGCTGACATTGTAGATCTCTTCCTTTGAAAATGCTAAAATGCTGATTGAACAGTCTCTATACTTCACTCTCACTGCTCAGTATGAACATTTTAGATCAATGTCTCACAAAATATTAAGGGCCAGTCCACACCAGGAATCACACAGGAACCATACAAGAACATGCTCAAGTTCCTGTGCGTTTTGAATGCAGTGCGCTCCCACCCCATTCATTTGAAAGGGCTGAATTTGCACTGCACCAAAATGAGTGTATGCACTACCTATAAAAATGCACTGCAACTGGATCGAATTGTATTTCTGTACCATGTGATCTGATGCAGGCAAACACACTGCATTAGTAGATCTGTGTTTAGGGTGTCGTTAGCATTGCATAGACACCTGTTGCAGATCGCATGGAGTGTGCTTTGAATGTGGTCTAGGAAACGAGCATGGAACGTGGGTTTCCCCCACTGTTCTAGTGTGAATGGGCCCGAAAGCTAGTGATTGCCAGGAAGATAGTATTTTCAACAGGAAGTTATCAATGGTGACTATCATACTTCTCTCTGTACATGTTTCTTTTATAACTTAAATGCAGTCAAACTGCAAGAATGCTTTTTTTTGCCAAATGATTTTGAGATTCAATCTTTTTCCACACTGAATAAGCAGAAAGATGATTGAGTTTCCTGGTTCAGCATTACAGCTTTCTGTGTCACTTACCTGTTTATAGAACAAAGATCATGCTGATACATTCTCCAACAAGCAAGCTGGTGGCAGAAATGTATCAGAGAAAGCTGCAAAGCTGAACCAGCAAAAACAAGCAAAACCTTAATGTGAGAGAAATGAACAAAATACAAGACTGTCCAAACAGAATTACTAATTCTTTATCAGGTAAATGTACATATTCACTGTGTACTGTACTTCAAATGTGTATTTAAAGTCCAAGTTGAGCATTTTCACAAAATTAACCCAGACACCCACCCTAACCACCTCTACAGAGTTAGCTGTGTCACCAGGTCTGTATTCACCTCCTCTGAAGGCTGCAGTCTCCTGCTGTGTATGTAGCCTGGTAGATACAATTCTAGTGCTGTGCTGAGCTGTCCGCGCCTGCGCACTAACATCCCACAGACTTGAATGAGATGTACTCACATTTTGGGGGCAACTGCCCATTTGAGAATATGAACGTTAGTCCACAGGCAACCTGGCAGTAGAATTCTACTGTCCCACTTGAGGACAGTGCAGGAGGCCAAAGCTATGACAAGGCTAAATGTATTGAGGAACTTAGCTAATTTACTAGAAAAACAATATCTGAATTCCACTGTTTGGCAGGGGTTCTCATTTAAGCTAGACTGACACCTTTGCATTGTTTTTTTTTATGCGTTTCCATTGTACCCAATAAAAAACACGTCATTGAGCATTTTAGGGCCAATTCACAATTTAGCGCTGTCTTGTGGTTTGTTAACAAATGTACAGTAATGCTACTTGTGTCGCACACATGGGATGCATTAGGTCAGCTTACTAATTTTTTTATAACCCACAATGAATCTAAAAATGGAAACATGCCTTTGATATCTGTGAAAAAACAGAGCAGGTTTTGCAAAGATGTTAATCTAACCTCAAAGGGAACTTTACTTTTCAGAAAAAGGAGATCCAAGATAAGGACCCATTCACATGGCGTTGAGGTCTGTAGAGCATGAATGGACTGTGTGTTTATGCAGCTTCAGCCGCTAAGTGCTTTGTGCAGGCAGTCCATATAAGTGTATAGGAATGCAGTGGCTGCATGAACACAGCTACTCGTTCTAATTTGACAGGAGTGTGGGTGAGCACCTTCAAATGCAGATATTCTGCTTCCACGGCAGTTCGCCCACGTTTTTTAAATTAGGCCGAGCAGCTGTGTCCGTGCAGTTGCTGAGTCTCCATACACGATTGCATGGGCAGCCTTCACACAACACCTGGCGGCTCAAGCCATATGGCACAAAGCCCATCCATGGCCTAAGGGCCTCAGCAGCTGTGTATATGAGGCCTTAGAGATTAGATAGTCCTGTATTTGTCCAGTCAGCACCACCAGCAACTCAGTGTAGTCATAAAAAAACTAATACAAATAAAAGAATAGAAACTCATACATATTTTAGGAAATTTCTCACCCAAACACCATGGTACCATCAGCTCTAATGCCAAACTGGGCATTTTGTGTTCCTTTTGAGTTCTGTACTAATCTGCCATTGCTGACAACGTTTCCAAGACATTGAAAAGTTGTAGTATTAAAAAATCCTCCATTTTGGGCCACAAGGCACTTTCCATATTTTGCAGTTTCGGAAACAGTTGTTGTAAAATTATTGGCACATCCTCCAGGACTCCCAGGCTCCAGCACAGAGACCGTCCTCAGAGGATTATTGATAAATGTAAAGTGTCCATAAACAGCCTTTTTAGGAAAATCAGAAAACATTGAGATATAAGTCCTGGTGGAGGCCACAGGCCATGTTGTATCATTGTTACTAGGCCATGTCTCATGTGTTTTGTTTCCATGAATCACATGGAGACATTCTCTGGTCTCACGATGGCTGTGGCTTGGGCCATGCTTAGAAAGGGGGTGGTAAGGAGACAGCAAGTCATCAACCAGTGAATTTCTGCAATAAGAAAAACACAGAATTATATTTGTTCCTTTTACAGCACGAACAATGACAAAATAAACGTCTATTATGGATAATGTATCAGTACTATTTTTTTTTTTTTTTTTATTTAAATATTTATTAATGTTCCAGATAAACAAGTTCATCCCTCCCCTCCCACCATCCAATCCCTGACCCCTTCTGCTCTGCATTTTCCTGTTCCTTTCTGGAGATCGTAATCCCTATAAAAGAACAAAATATGTTTCCATAATATTCTATGTTAATCCCCCATAACCTCCAAGGCTAGCCTTGACTTTTTGAATTCCTCCCATTTGTTCCATCTTGTATGGTGACTCCCCATCTTATCTTCATTCAAATGATAAAGTTCCTCCAATTTACATATTTGATCCACCCTATCCACCCAGTCTTTTATTTTCAGCACCTCCTGTCTCCTCCAATACTTGGGTATCAGTCCCTTTGCTGCATTCAAATAGTACAATAAACCAGATTCTTTGTATTTTTTAAGTATCAGTACTATTTAGGCTGCTCACACAAACTGTGCATTTCCCTTAGAGATTTTCTTGCAGGAGGTAGGGAATCAGACAGATAAGAGCAATTTCAAATGGCTAAAGTGGTCACATCAAGAAAAAAAATAAGAAAGCATCAACCATGCAAAAAAACTTATTCAATAAAATAAATATATAAATAAAGTGATCTACTTTATTCAATCAAAAGCAGCTGCCCCTTTAAAAGTGTGAACCACATTTATATCGTGAAACAATGTGTGTAACAAGAAGGCGCTGGCCCTCAAAATATATAACTCTAGATTCAATGTGCAAAAAAAAATCATACAGACACATACAATACATCAATAAATACCTCTATACAATGTGACTATAATATGTTGTCCATCAAAAAAATTGTGCAAAAAAAGTCCCATATTATCAAAATTCTTGTGTAAGAAAATCAATAAAAGTGACTGATTCTTCTACGCTCAGCCACGTGCTCAGCTGAAATGCTGGCTCAACAGAAAGATTTGGCCACTAACAGCAGCCAAACCAGCAATATAAACGAACTCACGGTTTTTAGGCAATTATCTCTTCTCCAGATGTCTCATAAACCTAATAATAGGGAAACGCCCAAGTATAGAGATTTTTGCACAAGGTGGTCACATGCCTGCATTGACCAATCACAATTGCTCTGATCTATTCCAGAAACGTTACAGAAAGAAGGGAAAGAAGAGCGAGGATTTCAAATCCCCAGACCGCTACACCAGTTGTGTTGGCACTGACGGATCTTCACCCATGGAGGTAAGCACAGCTGAAAGCAGGGGGAAGGCTCAGGGGAGGATGATGTAAAGTTTTTCTGAAAAGGTAAACTTACACTTTAAGCTTAGCTCATTTTTTTTTCTACACTTGTAGAAAGCCCTTTTCTATGATGAAACTGATTACTCTTAATTCGCTGGAAACTTGCACCTCCAAAATATAACCCTTTGAAGCTGGAGCTATCATGAGTCTGCCTCATATCCTGTCTGAATGACAATCATTTATCAATCACCTCTCCTTCTGATCAGTGCTGTCATTGCCTGCCTCTTAAAATTATTAGCATTCTCTGCCATCTATCACTGTGTTCCACACTGAGGTGTCCTTTTAGATGTGCACGTTCCCCCTGGGCGTGCAGATTTTACCTATGCAATCTGCTGACCAGTTGCATAATGGAAATTAAAGAATTGCAAATTAAGCAACTGATCAGCAGATTGGACCCTGTGGCTAGCAGGTAGGAGCATTCATGTCTTAATTGATGCTGGGGATATATTCTTTCATATAATGCCACATTTGGAAAGAGGATCCAAGGGTGCTGTGATATTTACAGGAACCTGCCAGCCCCTTCCACCATACTTGCAACAAAGACCAACATAACGACACCAGGGCATAAAAACTTTATTTCTTGAAACAATTTGCCTGTCAAATTGTATTTCCATGTTTATCTGAGGGGGTGGAGGGGTAACCAAGGGAAGGTAAAGTATATTACACTTCAGTTTTAAGATGGCTTTTAAGGGCACAATGAGCTTTAAAAGGTTCCTGAGAGGTACAGAAGCTCCTTTAAAATTATCCTGGACCTATTATTGAGCCAAATATGGCCCCTTGATCATCTGTTTCACAGAGAGAAAAAAGGAAAAATAAATATTAAAAAAGGGACAGCACATAAAAGGGAAGAATGAGACACATACAATCAACACTAAATAAAATAAACCTAACTACCCTGCATAAAGCCATGGCCAGGGTGGATAAAAATCAATGATTTTTTAAAAAAAAAAAAAAAAAAAAAAAAAAAGGATTTTTTTTATTTAAAATCAGATTTTTTTGATTTAAATCGGATTTTTTAAAATAAAATGCTTGAGGAAAATATATTACCATCCAAAGGTTATTCCATTAGTTTTTTAATTATGTAGAATAAGGCTGTATATGTTTCATTTTTTTGGTAAATAAATTCCATTAATCCATTCACAATGTCATGCTCTTCCAGAGGTTTTTGTAAGATTATTGGGCAGTTTCTCTGCCTACAAGATATTATCACAGAAGCTTGGTTTACTTTTGCAGTTCTCAAAACTGAATTTGACTCAGCGGAGATCACATGCCTCTTCTTCACAGCAAAAATGTTATAACATGAACAGAGTTAAGAAAAAGACCTTAATCCTAACTTCTACAAACCTATGAATACAGAATCAACCCCTTCAGTGCTAAGTTTCAAGAAGTTCAGTGAATGGAATAGAAACAATATTTTTCTGATTGTTTGGAGTGGAATAGATCTGCACAAGAAGAAAGTGAAACTAAGTGTGAGGAGGAAGGGGCTGACAGTCTAAGTTTCTTAAAATATAGATATTTTGTTTAGCCAAATTAGTTAACAAACATGGATGTTTAAGCAAATAACATATGCTGTAATGTTATTGTTTCAGTTGAATAAATCTATTTAAATTATTATTATTAAGGTAATGATTATTTTTCTCCTTCCGAAGTACAACAGAAAAGTTGTCCAAATATGAATGATTAACCTATTAAACTGGGGATAAAAAAACTAACATGAAAAGTTATTCTAAAAATCTTCATCTACTTGCATATTAAATTTATATCAGCAAGAATTAGTCTTTATGCAGAAAACTAGGATTTAAATCAAGCCTTACTGACTAGTGATTTAAATCAAATCCACCCTGACCATGACCCAACAAACAACTCCTAAAGTCTCCTGCACACTGGAAAAGCTAAAACCTGCTTTAGAAACGCTTGACAAAAAATGTGTTTTAGCAGTGTTTAGCCTAGTGTGTAAGCTACGTTTAGTAGCTTCAGCGTTACGGAGGGGCTGCCATTGTTAAGGAAAGGGCTGGGAAGTCGGCCGCGAATCCTTAAAGCGGAGTTCTAGCCATTTTTGTGTTTATTAAAAGTCACCAGCTACACAAACTGTAGTTGCTGACACTTAATAAACGCACACTCACCTGTCCCAGGGTCCAGCTACATGCTCACCTGCACCATCTCTTCTTTCCCTCCTCTTTGCCCAGAGCCGGCATCTCAATTATGGGCACCCAGCTGTGACAGATTACGGCTTCACAGCGGGTGCTCACTGCGCATGTGCGAGTCGCGCTGCGCATTTAGATTGGTCTGGCAGTCTTCTGGGACCTGAACGGGAGAAAGGAGGGGGCCGAACTTCTGGCTCACTTTGCCAAGAAGTGAGAGCAGATACCTGTCGAAACCAGGTATCCGTTCCCTCCCAAAAGGGGGGGGGGGGGCAAACAAGATCTTCCACTTTTGGATGGAACTCCGCTTTAACATTGGATGAGTCATCAGCTCTCAGCTGGTTTTTCCACTGACAGTTCAATGAAAAAAAATAAACACAATACATTGCTGGTAATATGAAAAAACTGGCATTGGGATCCCCCCCCAAAATCTGTACTGGACCCTTATCCGAGCATGCAGCCCGGCAGGTCAGTAAAGGGGGGGGGGGTGCACTTGCTCCTGAATTACTGAATTATACCAGGCCACATGCCCTCAACATGTCCTTGGGGGGGTCCCCCAAGTCACCTTGTCCCCATGTTGAGGACCCCTCCCCCACAACCCTGGCCGGTGGTTGTGTAGTCTGCGGGCAGGGGCTTATCGGAATCTGGAAGCCCCCAGATCCCACCCCCCCATGTGAATGAGTAAGGGGTACTTATTACCCCTACTCATTCACCAAAAAAGTGTAAAAAAAGAAAAAAACCTCAGTCCTTACGAAGGCTCCCGTCATCTGGCAGCTCTTAAATAACTAAGGGGCAGGGGCCTCTGGTGACATCACCAGCAGACCCCGCCATCTTGTGACATCACCAAACCAGCATACCCAGTGTCGGTGAAGTCACAAGGCGGGGTCTTCCGGTGACATCACCAGAGTGCCCCACCTATTTGTTATTTAAGAACTACACTGAAGGACATTTTTTTTAATCTTTGATTTCTTAATAAAGGACTTGTCAAAAACTTGTGTTGTGTTATTTACTTTTTTGGTAAAGGAGTAGGGGTACCCCCTACTCATTCACATGGGGGAAGGACCCAGGATCTGGGGGCCCCCTTGCTAACCACTTTCCGACCGCCCTATATCAGAAATACCGTTACAGGGCGGCATGGGTGCGCAAAATCATGTATATATACGTGTTTCGCACTCCTGCAGTTTACGTGGGCCGGGTGCCGTGATTTGATCCCCAAGGGATCAATCATCCAATTTAGGCCAGTGATGTTCGGCCTAAACTGGATGATCGATCCCTGTCGTATCAGGGATCTTCCTGTACCTGTGTTTACACTTACATAGGTACAGGAAGTGATAAACTCTTCTCTCTCTGTGCACATTCGGTCCCAGAGAGAAGAATCAAGACAGAGTTAGTGAAACAGCACACACTTTAATAGGTAGTACAGTGTACAGATTTTTTGCTGATCACTGTTTTAGTGTCACCAGCGACTTCAGATAGCGTTCGCGACCCTCCCAGACAGCATCAGATTGCTGTCAGTATACCAGTAGTCACATTTAACCCCTTGATTGCCAGGAACACGTTCACTCACAGAACAAACCTCCATTGCTAGTATAGTGTCTGAATGGATCAATATCTTTGATCAGATCAGCACTATACCAGCGTTCACATTAGTATAGCGTC